ATTTTAGGCTGGGTTGCACCACCTAACTTTAACAATGACTATAACGATAACCGATGTTTTTTGTATGGAGTTTGGAAGATTTTTTACATTTATTAAAGTCAAATTAAGATGGTACAACCACAAGTGCAACCCAGACTTAGAGATTTACATTTTTAGGTCACTATACTAATCTTGTGTCGCAGTGGCCAGAATACTATTACCATTATGAAATGACAACGGTTGACATGAGAAGGGTTGATTTTATTACTCAAATATGTATGTTACATAATCTTTCCCACGCACCGACATCTGAATAAATAAATAGGTAATACTTCCCGATACTAAGGGTAGTTAGTTGTTTGTATGAATGATATTTTGTGAGATCCTTAAGTATTAGGTCAATCAAATCTTTATTTGTTTAGACTAATTAAATTAGTACTTGCAAATCGTCAAATGCTCTTAAGGAGCCTTACATGTCTCATTCTTTTTTTGCCCTGTCACCACTGTCTGCCGGTTTAAAAATATAAAAAGTAGGAAGTTACAATACATTCAGAAGCAAGTTACTTACCACGCGCTCCCGTTGATAGAACGTGGCCTTTAAGACTCCAATCTAACATGAGACCGCGTCGCAGTTTTGAATATATTTCTTTAGTGCCGTGCTAATACACATCTACCTACCCGTAAGACTACATACAGACTTAGTCGACCGATAGTTGGGCCCGATTCTAATTAGTATGAAGAATCGGCACATACCAAATCGGTGTAATAGCTGTTCATACTGATTAAGATTCCCCCCCAAGGAAAACGCAAACGTGGTCGCCCCAAGCAAACTTAGCGGCGCACTGTAGCAGACGAGGCGAAGAAAATCGGCAAGACCTGGAGCGAGATCAAACGCGAAGCTCAAGACCGAACGCGATGGAAGACTGTTGTGGACGCCCTCTGCCCCATCACGTCACATCAAGTCACTGATTAGCAGCCCGACCTAACTATCGGTGGTCTGCGCTTTGGCTAAGTAGACAAAATAACCTATTTAATCGGATAAATGTGAAAGAACCCGGTGTCTTTGTTTGTTTTTGTACGCCTTAAATAAATTAAACAGTTGATGTATAATGTTTGTCTGCTAATACACGTACATTTTTCAGAAACAAATAAATCTTAGAAGACTTGCGCCCGTATTCACAAACATTACTATGAGGTCTCACAGTGCGCGTGGAGGCACAGGGTGACGCATGAACCAATCACAGAGCTCTATTCAATGCTGTGCATTCGATTTTCTATTTCACTTAAGCAAGTATCGCTTGTGAATACGGACGACATGCTAAAAGAGAATAAAATACCTAAAGGATCGAACTCCATATTAGTAACATAAAGAAAAGTTACAGATAACCTTAAAGTCTGTCGATTTAGAGAACATTTTCAGGAATAGTTTTATGTCAATATGAGCTGTTTGCTAGGTAAATAATACAAGGAATTTCCTACCTTTTTCTAGAACTAAAATAGAATAAATAATTTAAGTTTGTTCTACCTTACTCTTAGGCCTGTCAGGTAGATTTCGGTTGCTATCGGAAAAACTGTCGCGCGCCTCCCGGGAATGGAACGATTCTAGGTAATATTATAGCTTAAACACACCCAGTAACGTTACTGATAAATAAAATTATTTTAAAAATACCTATGTTAGATAGTCTATCAATTAACATCAAAATAATTACGCAGATCGTTCGTTCGTTTCAGCTGAAAGACGTCCACTGTTGGACAAAGGCATCCCCCAAGGATTTCCACAAAGACCGGTCCTGCGCCGCTCGCATCCAGGCATCTCCCGCGACCTTCACAAGATCCTCGCAATTACGCAGATAAAAGCCATAAAATAATTTAAATTTAAATCTAATTAATAGCAGTCGAAGCAGTCAAGAGAAAAAACATGGAGGATTCCTATGCCCAGCCGTGGGCTGAAGTTAGACAAGCCCAGCCGAAGGTAGGGGTGTGACGGAATCAAAAATAAATAAATATCGCGATTGCTTGAGAAGAAGTTACAAATAAATAAATAAAGCTTGTGAGGCTTGATGAATTTTTGTTACTCTTTCACGAAAGCTACTAACGGATTTTCATGAAACTTTAATAACGATCTGTGACAAAAAAATAATGAGACATGTATAGGCTCCTAAGGGCTGATTTTTCAATCATCAGTTAACTTTTAACTGTAGAATATACTTGTCATTTTGATATATTTCCTATACTGAAACTGTCAATATGCCAAACTTATTCTTCAGTTAAAAGTTATCCGACGGTTGAAAAATCAGCCCTTAAGAGCATTTAACGATTTGTAAGTACCTACTAATTTTATTAGTCTACACAAATAAAGATAATTTTGATTTTGATTTTTTGATTTTGTGGCAAACTGAATTTCACGTGAACAGTAGCTAATGCTGATATTGAGAGGGAGCGAAGGGCTCTGGCAGTTCGTGGTAACATGCTGGCTCGCAGATTTTCCCGCTGTACAGAAGAAGTAAAGATTACGCTCTTTAAGGCATATTGCCAGAGTATGTACACGGGAAACCTGTGGGTAAGTCATACCAAAAGATCGCTAGAAACCCTTCGCATCCAATATAATAATGTCTTTAGGATGATGTTGGGGCTGCCACGTTTCTGTAGTGCATCGGGGATGTTTGCGGAATACCAAACTGATGGCTTCAATGCTATCATCCGCAAAAAAACAGTATCCCTTATTAACAGGGTGCGAGGCAGTCGCAACAGCATACTCAAGACACTAGCGGACAGGTTAACATCTCCGCTATGGAAATGCTTCGTGCAGAGAGTGATCACGGGAACCTGCCCGCCTTGTTGTGATCTCAATTGATAAATTATTTATTATTTAATTTTAATTCTATTTTTGATTGGATTCTGATTTTCATTTAATTTTAAATTCCTGATTCTAATTTAATCTGATTTTAATTTGATATTACTTAATTTTAATTGTTTGATGCCCATTTTAATTTTAATTTAATTTTGTTTGAAATATTTTTACTAACCATTTATTGTTTAAGCACAAATTGTTACTAACCCATATGGATACTGTTTATCTGAAATAAATGATATTATTATTATTATTATTATAGTAGCGTACTTCCATAATCTTACTCACAATAAAATTATTAGGAAAAGAAGGAGCGCAATTTGTGTTGCGACTTGCGCTTCGAGTTTGTCTCTGAGAGATCTGAAATCGAAATCAGTCGGTATAGTCGTATTGTCTACGAGTATACCAAACAATTTCGATTTCGGATCATTATCACTACATTTTTTTTTGTGAGCGACTTAATCTAATAGAAATCTCAACTAGTTAATTAATGTTAGAGAATATCTTTAAAACAGGAGTTGACTTTCAAAAATATTTGTATGGAAAATCAATTTTCGTTAAATTCCCCATACTTACAAAAAACAAATTTCATAGGTCCTAATGTACATTTTTTTATTTAATTTACCGTTCAAAAAGAATGTGTAGTACTTGTGTAGTCAATTTGAATGCATTTAATTTCACTATTAACCTGATTCAGTATGAAAAACGCGAATATAAACTGCTTTACGAGCCTAAAGCAGTGTAAAATGGGCCAATTTACGAGCTTTTCAAAAGTTCCTAAATAGCTTTCTGTGCTATATTGCCTCAAAAGAAGGCCATTTATCATTAATAGTACGCTGAAATATTCCAATTTTCATTTTTACCTACACCAGATGCATTAAACATAACTATTGTATACCTACTTCTTATACCTACCTAATAAAATAATAAAATTATGGAGGCGAACTTCATACCGACTATTAATTATCAGAAATAATGGAGGATTTTAATTGGTAAAAGATTTTTTAAAATCTTTCCAGTGATTTCGGAGCCTATTCACGTAGTGTAGATTGTGAACCTAGGTACCTATCTACCTAGTCGTCGGCAGTCTTTGGGTTTTCTAAGTGTCTTAATGCTCTTTCAACTTAACGGCCAGCCGGCCAAGCAATGTAAATTTTGGAAATATTGGAAAAACTGCAAATCATCAAACGTACGGTGAATATTTATTTCTTCTAGTATATGTTACTGTAAAAGCTCGAATTGCAGTAAAACCTAAGATCTACCAATTCCTAATGGTAAATGTCCCAAAAGGTTTGCGATTCGAACTCTCGTTGATTTACCACCACCATTAATGGCACGGTAAATGTTGAAGAACAAAAAAAGTGATGCCGTGACCAGGATGAGACATACCTAAGGTAGATACTAATTAGATGCTAAGTAACATTGTAAACGGACGAAGTCACAGGCAAAAGCCAGTTGGAAAAACAAAGTGTAGGTATTTTGGAAAAAGAAATTCAGTATCTCATACTAAAATATTCAAAGGCTTGCACGAAGATTACAATGGGATAGTGAGAGATAAATTCTGTTTTCCTCTGGGTATCTAGGCAATGATACATTTGATCAACAAAAATACAACGAAAATAAAAAATATTATGACCTTTTTTCGGTGTATAAAGCCAAAATCATTTAAAATTTATTGTCTACCAGCGAAATCTGGCAGTAGCAGGGTTAACACTAAGAATACCCTATTCTTAGCATCGTCGAATCGTATGTAGGATGAACTGATGAAGGTATTTGTTACTTAAATTTGTGATACACGTTTTACATTCCATGTAAATAATAATGGGTCTTTTCCTAAAGGCAATTGAAAAATAAACTTTTCAAAATGAAATATCAACCTTGCATTTTTCCTTAAGAAGATATACGAGTAAGTGGGTATATTGTGAATGTGACAAATGTACGGTATAAATTACTCTCGTAAAAATACCGCATTCACCTAATAAAAATAATGCTGGTAGGTTATACCGACCTACCGTAAGTAGGTACAATGAGAAAAAAATCTTAACTAACCTACAATGAGAAAAAATCAAAAACAGTCAAGTTCCATAAAAAATAAAATCTTCTGTTGGTTATAATCAAAACTACCCCACAACCGAGCTACAATAAACACAAAACAAAGTAAATTACTCACCAAATTAACAAAGTCTTAACTTGGAGAATGATAAGTCACTACACTGATTAATAACACTGATACAACAATCACTACTAACTTAAATCTAGTTCCGACGCTACTTTCAAACTTTCGTAATTCGAATTTGGAATCCACGAATTGGCACAACACAACCGTTTCAAAAGTCGAATCTTTATCACGTAAAATATACAACACGCGTTCCTTCACAATGCACAAGCGGTCCACGTAGTGCACTCAGGTGCCTACAGACGATGGGCAGGCTGTATGGTTATCTGCCTTCGCCACGGTGGTGAAGTTTAAAAAACTTACGCAGACTATGCAAAATGTTACGCGGGACGAGGGAAAAAATCGCCGAGTTCCACACGAGCGGCCGCCGCGCGATCGCGACGTAAACTGAGCTAGTTGCAAACTGCCCTTACAGTTTTCCGCGTTGGAGAGGGTAGGAAAATGTGGTTTGTGGGGTGACGTGTGGGTGGGAGCGAGAAGGGTGCAGGAAGGTTTCGTCTGCACGTGGTGCGGTCAATTGCAATGCCGGCTACGGTCATTGCCATAGCAGAGGTTGATCAATGCCTTTTTAGTTAGTTACCACGGTGCTACGGGATGCCGTAGCAGCTATGGTGGCAAGCTGATAACAACATGATGAGAGTGCCGGCACCGCAGTATCAATGTAGTTCTCATAAAATGTACTAGAAAGTTTACGAGAAAAGGCTAAAAAATTATTCCATTTAATGACGACTTAAATTTTTTTTTTTATAAATATAGCGGGTAGAATGTAAATCGTCAAATACGAGTACACACTAATTTAATAAAAAGTAGTAGGTAAAACCAGATTTGTTAATATTCTATTTAGAATTAATTATTTACTTAGTTAGACACATCTATATCTATACTTATAATAAATCTGTAGAGAGGTCAATTCTGTACATGAAATATATTTTCAAAATAACTATCAGAGGATGATTAGTGATCGATACTGATGCCAAAAATGCAATCAGTAAATTTTTTGTCTGTCTGTCTGTCTGTATGTTCCTTATAGAAACAAAAACTACTTGACGGATTTTAACGAAACTTGGTACAATTATTCTTCATACTCCTGGGCAGGTTATAGGATACTTAGGAATAATTCCCACGGGAACGGGAATTAGCGGGAAAATCCTTTTGTATGAAAAATCTAAACCGCGTAAGATAGATGAAGGGGGTAAAACGGGATTCACGCGTACGAAGTCGCGGGCGGCCGCTAGTTTACACTAAAATCATAATCATAAAAAAATTGCCAATTAATTTGCCCCAAGCGATTTCGATGTAGTATGTAAGTAAATAATTGCAGATTAGGCTGTATGGCATAATACCTTTGCCTTTTCCTGCTGTTACTGAGCGTAAGTTTTTTTTTTAATAATATTACCTTCACGTAGCAAGAATTTGAAAAATGAATGCTAATCTGCGTAACATGGATTAATTTAAATTAAGACAAAAGACAACAACGAAATACTTTATACGCAGTCTGATTACAAAATAGAGTGTCTAATAAACCCGCTAGAGCATTGACCATTTTCAATAAACACAAAATATTAGTAGGTAACGATCACGAAATTATTCAGTGTTGCCAAACGAAATATTTTAAAACTTTCAACGTCATAACTAGGAAAGGCAGAAAACGAACTGCAAGACAAAAATAAAATAAATATTACTTAGTTCGTTCTTTTAGTTCAATACCGACTCGTGCGGCCAATTAAAAACTACTTGCGAACTCGTAAGTGTTGTTAAAGTTACCACATTCGAAGTATATTGTCTCCTGTTCCTCCCTACTAGTGATGTGATGCTTGAATACTCGATACTCGATATTATATTATTCTATCTTCCTGACGGTTAGACGCTAAATCAATGTCTAATTCGCCAATCATTCTGAAATCAAATTAAAGGATTATGTTGCGTTACAGAAAAAAAGTGAAAAGAATATAATTATTTTTTCTGCCACAAGCAAAACAATGCTCATTACAATATTTAATTATTTTTAGCAAAATTTTACTAGTGATCGATTATTCCGATTATCTTCATTAAATCGATTAGAAAGACACGTGTGACATCACTAAAAGAAAGGGCACACGTGAGGGGGCGTATTACCGCAGTTAACTAATAAAACGTTTTCTTCGGCAAACAAGCTAGTTACGGTTACGGCTCGATTGCACTCGTTCAATATTTTAGTTTGACATAAAGTGGGCGGTTGGACATACAATGCAAAACAAAACATCGATAAAGCGATATAACTATGCCTACATTTTCTAATTTCAGACATGGCGGCTGCAAAGTGAGGACATAAATTGAACAAACTCTATTTATGAATGTAGTATGAAAAGCTGCGTTACATTGTTCAAAATCTTCTTTTTTCCTTATCCGTTGATTGTTTTCCATCCTAGGCATTAATTAATCTTGTAAGTTTTCCATATTCCCATAGAGAAATAAATATTTATTAAAAATATTCAATTATTCTAACCATCTATTGTTATGGAATTTACATTATTATTTAAATATCCACAACACAATCTAAACAATTATTACAAAACATTTGAACAAGTCGCATTTTGGAAACTGACAAGACATAGTAAAGTATCCAATGTTAGAGTCGATAGAAAAGTACCTTCCCGCTTTTCGTGCATTTTCCACAGATTAAAAAGGAAAATGTCAAAATAATGTTTTCGTAAAATAAAATATTGCATTAGGTCTTCATTGCTATGGAATTATTTAATTGTTAATGCGTTAAAGTTTACATTTGTTTTACAAGAAATAATTACTAGTTTCTCGTTAGTGTCAAAAGAGTAGTTAAAAATTTTATACATTATACTGTGCCGAAGTTTTGATGCGATCAATGACAAAATACACAAGATCAAGAACCTCCTGTAAGTTTTTGTTTTTGTTAAAAGGTAATCATTTAATATTAGTTGCTTATGAATGCATTTAAAGTGGTAACCGTTATGACTTTTCAGAAAAATACAAATAAATAATTCTACACAATAATTGCAGTTCACATGATAAGTAAACGTGTTAAGTTTAGAAGTATCATGTATTTTGTTAATAAACATGATCAAATTTCTTTGTTTTCAGTGTTAGATCTTCAACTCGAGCAGGTGTATAGAGCAGTAATAGAGGAACAAGACTGGCGCAGTGCTGCCGCCTCGCGTCAAGGTAAGTAAGTCACTAATTCCCGTATTCACAAACGATACTTGCTTAAGTGAAGCACAGCAAATTAAACGCACAACGTTGAATAGAGCGTTGTCACCCTATGCGTCCACGCGTACTGTGAGACCTCATAGTAATGTTTGCAAATACGGGTGTCGTAAGTTTTTCCGTCTTAGTCCATGTAAGCATAGAGCTTTGTTTTCTATGATTTTCTTGATTTAAGAGATGTATGATGTAGCTTTATTTGACTATCGACAATATTGATCTATAGAACGAAATAACGAATCCTATGCATTTTGGAAAATCTAACAATCGTCATCGATTTGGTTTCGCGTTCGCATTGCTATCTCTGAAGACAAAACCGTTCCTAGACTTCACCCCGTCATTTTAGCACGCCCTTTGATCCACGCCCGAAACTGTGCCCGAAATAATCATGAATGTTACTTTCTATGTGGACAGGAGGTATACAGCTAAAAGTTCGCCCAAAATGCATTGCTACATTCTTAAAACTATTTACCTGGACATCGTTTGATACATAGATTGTACATCGTTGTCCTTAGTAATTCTCATTTCTAACTTATGCAACACTACCTACCTTTAAACACCACACGAACGCTGTTTAACCAATTTTCTACCACTCGATAATTCATTTAAGCCCTCGAACGACTCAATTTCAGGCCATAAGCGGTGGAACTGTTTAGTGCGCCAGCATAAAACTGTTAATGATGCAGAAGCCTACGAGGGTGGTATGGACTGCCTATGTAAATACTGGGTGGTAGCCAGTGGCGTAGCGTGCCTTAGGCGGGCCCTATATCAAAAAGATCTTTTAGATCATGGGGCCCTTTTCATCTTATAATGTCATTGCAAAATTATAGAACTCCCTAAACGACTCGTTCGTTCGTTTCAGCCAAATGACGTCCACAATGCAACTGGACAACGGTCTACCCCAAAGATTTCCACAATGACCGGTCCTGCGCCGCCCGCATCCAGGCACCTCCCACCTTTTTAGTGGGTTCGAGCCCCACATAACCTGCCGTCCCCCGGCGGTAGGTATGGATAGGCCATTTTCGTGGGTAAAAAAAAATGCACCTCCCGCTACCTTCAAGGCTGGTTTTAGTGTCACGCAAACTGTCAGTGCAGGTCGCTCCGCACAGCCGATCTGTATGAACTGCTAGGGAGCGGAGCGGTTCCTCCGGACCACATTACTCTAAAACGCTCCCTAGAAGTTCATACAGATTGGCCGTGCGGAGCGGGTCCGCACCGGACGGTCCGCGTGACACTAAAACCAGCCCAACACCCTACTACGAATACTCAGTCTGTTCGTAAAAGTCTGGCACAGGGGCCCTTGTATTCCATGGGCCCCGTAACATTGATATGGCAGATACGGTACGCCCCTGGCCCTTGTTATTTTTTATGGATTTATGCGCAACTTATTCGTCTATTTCACCTGTAAACTGAGTTTTTCATTAAAATGGTTCGAGTGGAGTGACTTACCATGAAATCGTTTGACTTTAGTCATGTATGCTGTAGTTTTTACAAACTAAAATAACAATGGCGCTGTTAAAGTTAAATTAAAAGCTTCATTATTTTCAGAGCTCCGTAATTTTAAAAATATAACAATAAATAGCCGAATTACATTGTATGTTGTTCATACTTTGCTGCTATTCAACAAATTAATAGTAACGTCATCAAAGCACTTCTTAACTTGGCACGAATTTAATTAAATCGGACGACAAATGGTGTTTTTTTTTTTTGTAAAAATAGAACAACAAAAAACCGAGCGACCCCAATCTTATTAACAAGGTCGGTGTCGCGTGAGTCCCGAAAGTCCCGCCAAATCGCTAGTGCAGCCTCGGGACACGGGAGTAGGGCGACCACAATTTTGAAAAATGGTGAATATACAAACTGATTAGCAGTGTCAGGAAAGGAAGGAAGGAAGACAAAGTACCTACGTTTTTTAAGTAAAACTCCATCCTGTTTGTTGTCATGCACAATTCCTTAGACGACCCACTACTTATGGTACAAAAGTTCTAACTCCTTCAACTTAATATGTCCTTGTTACATGTTGACCTTCTCTTTAATTGCTAAGAAACTGGACAAGAATGACATTTCACCCTTTAAACTTGAAATAATCTATCTTTTTAATCTAA